TTTAAAAACTCCTATTGGTCTCAGTTCAGGGGACAGCTAGATATGGCTTAGTCTGTTTATCGTCACAATCTTAGATTTCATCAGTGGATAATGATAAACACACACAGAGATCTATGTATATGAAGCCTGGCTGTATTTTTGCTTTGCCCGATGAAACAACAAACCCTCCATCAGTCTGGGTAGAAAAAAATAATAGGAGCTGAAACAAGGCTGAGATGTGCTTTGTGCAGGGACGTAGGATGAAGGAAGGAGAGGAGGTATTCCTATAACAGTCATCATGTTCGTGTTGTGACAAAAAGAAATATCTTCTGTCTAATCTACGAAATAAACTCACTGCCGATGTTACAGTGCGCAGTCAGGGGACAGAAATGTCCCTGACGGCACAAAGTCACAAATCCAGAAACAATCATTTACAGAAAGTGGTGACTGAAAATTCTGCAAGTAAAAAGTGAAGACATGTCAACTACGATACAAAAAAACTACCAGAATGCTTTTGAAAGCCTCTCCCCTCAACTTCCTAGAACCCGTACAAACACAGGAGGAGCAATGAAGTACACTTGAAGTATGTCAAAGGTGTAAAAGCAGAGGAAACATTTGATGTAGGCCCATGTCGGCTGTCCTGTGATACAGCATTGTTATGTTTAGATGATAAATCTAATGAAACAGTTAAAAGCTAAGGCTTTAATGGATTTGGAAGAAGAAAAAAAGCAACACACAAAAAATACATGTTAAAAAAAGGACGTTTCTTTTGCTTTTTGTTTTCAGATTTCCCTGCATGGACCGTATAAACCCTGGCATGGGGGGCTAAAAGAAAAATTGTGCGTCACTTGGTAACTTCAGTACTGTATATGTAAAATAAATGGCACTTAACACTAGGAATATCTCACAACTGTACAAAATCTGCCTGGATGAGGAGTTGAGTCTCAGATCCAACACCAGGCAGTGAAAGGTCAGAGGTCAGACTGTCACAACAGCTCAGAGACGGGATTCCAGCGGGTCGGCTGAAGCTGACGCCGCCATGGACTGAGGGGTCATAGAAAGATGGCTTTTTTTGTTACCTCTTTTAATGCGAGCAAACTCTGGGTGATGCTGCAGAATTTGCTTTAAGCAGCTTTAATGTCGGTCTGCACCTGCTCGAAGCGGCTGATTCGTCGTTCACTAAAATGTGATTGTCGCTTTGAGTGTGAGAGCGCGAAATAATGTTGGTGTTGAGACCAAAAATAAACAGGTAGTCGGGATTTCTATGCTGTTCTCAAGTCCATTTTTTCACCTACCCCAGGAAACACAGATTCTTATAAATGCCATTGTGAACAGACTGACAGCTAAGTGCTTAATATCCAAAAACAGTTTCAACAAACACAGACATGGTTAATATAAAAACAGTGAGAAAGTGTCACTGGTCTCAGTGCCATCCATCTGGCAAATCATCTCTCTGCCTGAAGTCAGCAGGCCTTCGCTATTCTCCAGGACCCTCCCAAATATATGACGACATCAGGGATGAACAGCACGTTTACCTTGTAAACCAATGATATGACCCTCTCACATAACAATCACAGTCCCCCGCCCCCCTAAAAGATACACCATTGCAGATAAGAGACAACGAATGACGCCATTAAAATGTACTTAAGTTCTCAGCTCACATTCCAAAACACAGGACTGGACTGAATTTAAAAAGGGGGGAAAAGAAAGAGCCAAAATAAGAAAAACTGGATGTTGATTCTCCTCTCATCTTCTTGCACGTTTTCTTTTAGTGGTAGCAGTGCACAGGCTGCCTTGCACCTGTCGTTCACCGTGAAGAAACTCGCTGTGCGGGCTGCTGCTCTCTGATCAGATCTGTGGTGAAAATCTGTCTCTAGAACAGCAGTCATCGGGCTCCTGACCAGACCAACAGCACGACCTCAGAGTCCCTTCCACACAAGTGTCATCACATGAGAGCAGTTCACCCACAAGGTGCAGGTCAGTGTGTCTGTATTGATAAGGCCAGTTAGGAAAAGTAGTTAAGTTTTTAAAAAAAGAAAGAAAAATGAAAAACAAGTGATTTGTCCTTTAGAGTCGTCCTGGAGTGATGCAGGACACCTAAAGGCACAAACACACACACGGAGCAGCATTGTTCCAGCTCGTCTCTGCTTGGTCTCTCAGGTGTGAGGAGATGACTCCATCTTTTCTTGAGGACTGACGGAGGAAATGCAGAGTGGAATGGTGTGGGTAGATTAGCAGGCGCCTCAGCAGGTGTGTGTGTGTATGTGTGTGTGTTTGTGTGTGTGTGTGTGTGTGTGTGGCTGCAGCAGCACAGAGGCGGTGGACTGCTGGCGGGGGCCTGTTGTACAGAGGCATTTTGGGTCACTCGCTGTCAGACAGGGTCTCGTACTGAGACATGAGCAGAGGCTTGGGCTCCTCCTCCCAGGAGCGGCCCTGTCCAGGTCCTGACCCTGGGCCCTGGCCCCCCGGCTGGCCGGAAGAGGGGGAGGGAGCGGATACCGTCCCGCTGGGGAAACGCATTATCAACGGGTTGCAGGGGAATGGAGTTGGAGCTGAACCTGCAGAAAACGCAGAGGGAATGTATTTGAGACTTTTTCTCCTTTTCCAGACTTTTCCAACAGCAGATAAGCACAGCTAACAGTAAATCAATCAGAGTTGAAAAGGAAGGTGTATATACCTGTGGATGAAGGCCGGTCCTCCCACACACGGTTGGTGAGGGGAGTTCGTCTGTTGCAGTCGCCCTCAGAGTGGACTGAGGACACAGAGGACGGTCTCTCCCCCCCTGACAGACCTGGTCCTGGGGATTTGGCTTTGCGTCCGTTGGTGCGTCCGCTGCCCTTTGACGACTTTCCTCCACCTGCAAACAGAGGAGGCAGGAGTCAGGTTTTAACCAACAGACTAACATACTCCTGTGAAAATCATTCTCTACTTTGCCAATGAGTCAAAGGTTTAACTCTCAATGACGTGACTAAAGAGTTAACTTTGAGAGGAGAAGAAAAATATGCCTTTTCCTCTTCTTGCTGAGAGTTAGATGAGAAAATGAATACCACTCTCATGTCTGTCCATAGGAAGCTACTGCCAGAAAATGCTTACTTTATTTTAGCATAAAGACTGACAGCAGGGAGGAAATATCCTGGCAACAGAAAACATGTAAACAAGATAAAATACAGACATGTGTGAGGATTTCACACCTTGTGAGAAACAGTCCTCAGCACGTCCGTCAGCGGAAACGTTTGAGCCCATTGTGTTAGCAGCGTTGGTCCGTTCCTCAGACTGATCATCGTAATTGCCCATCAAGGCCTTTCTGATAATGGCCTCCAGGCCTATCGAGTTACCAGGGGCCTCTGGAGTTGAGTGATTGCGGACACTCACAGTACCTGTTAAAGGACAAAGGGTTAGACAAGTTCACTTTAAAGAGAGATAGGAAGGTTTATACGGGGCCCTGGGGCAACCCCCTGGGTTATTGGTGTCTCAAGGCTCTGCAGAGGGTGGGGTTAAGAAGGGGGTGCTTTTCTCTTCAGGCCTCTGCCTAGTCTTATTTAATATGACATCTTATTTCAGACATGCCCCAGCAATTAAACTGTCTGTGTCATGAGGCAACACAGGTCAAGTTCATTTCCTTTGTAAACACCACCTTGGGACATTGTATGATTTGGTCTGAAAACACAAAGCAAGCAGAGAGTGGCTGATACATGTGCTCTTAATCAGGCCAACGTCTGCTTTGGCTTTGGACATCAATACGCAAAGATATAAATCAAGCTGCTCCACACTTTCAAGGTGATAATTATAAAATCAGACTTCAAGCTGCATTATGCATACTGTTGCCATTTATAAGTCTGCAAACTTGATGTAATGGAAGAGGAGGAGATAGATTACCTGCAGTAGTAGACGCAGGCATATTAAAGATCTCTGTTCCAGGCTGACCAGCATCTGAGAACATGAACAAGGTTTGTTTTTAAAAGCACATTCTCTTCATTAAAAATCACATGTGTGTTTTCTTCTGAACACAACTTTTTGATAGAGCACTCTTGCTTGTGCTGAGGTCAGACTTACTGAAATCACTGTCGTTCCCCACCACTGTCATCTTCTTGATCATCTCCTGTTTCTTTGACTTGACGATGGCTGAGGTGTTCTCTGTCAGCTTGCTGAAGAAGGCTGGAGGCTGGGACGCATTGGGAGGTGAACGGGAGCCCATTCTGTAGGAGGGACAGACACAAATTAACACTGATATTCACGTATAAATAGCTAATAGCTGCTGTTTATGTCACTTTAAATATAAATCTGCTCATCTGCCCTCAAACCTGACTCTGATTTTAACCATCGCCGTCTTCTTCCTTGTTCCCCATGGGAGGGGCGTGGTTTAGCAGTTTTTTATAAGTGCTCTTTCATTTCCTTTGGTAATTTTATTTCATTTGAAGTCTAATGATTTTTAATTTCAGGCCTTGCCCCTTTCCTGTCTATTCTAGTTTAAAGACCTTCAAGGTATAATCATTTTATGACAGAATTTTCTGAACTTTTATCTTCTGTTTTATCCAAGTATGACAAAGTGCTTATTCTGGGTGATTTTAATATTAATGTCCCATCACACCATGCCAAGATCTTGCTGAATCATTCAATCTACAATCAGTTAAAGATCCTATGCGTGCGAAGGACATATAATCATCTTGGTACTTTCCTCGGGTCTCTGCCCAGAGACAGTTGAGCTACTAGATGTCTTTGTATCAGACCACAAAACAGTTATTTTTAGTCCTGGCCTGGACCACTGTAATGCACTTTATGCTGGTATCAGTCAGAGCTCAATTCCCCAACTCCAACTGGTGCAAAACTCTGCTGCCCGTATTTTAAGTGGCACAAAAAAATATTGATTGATTTTTAAATTTTATTGATCGTTTTGAAAGCGTCAAATGGCCTTGCTCCAAATTACTTAAAAGATCTATTGAGTCCTTATGTGCCCGGGCGCTCTACACATTCAGTGGATGCAGCTCTACTGGTTGTTCCCAGATCCTGACGTATGACTAGAGGTGACTGGGCCTTTGCTGTTTGAGCCCCCAAACTGTGGAACACTCTACTTATTGAAATCAGACAGGCAACATCATTAGCTTCATTTTAACCTCTTCTTTCAACATTCCTTTATCGAAAAGCATTTAAAAATACTTAGTACGTTACTGGATTTAATCGTCTCACTCTTGACATTTTACAATTTTTACTTTATTTCACCTCGCAGTGTTTCTATGTTGTTGATCCTTCTGTTATTTGTATTGTGGTTTTTATTGTTGTTTTGGTTTTTCTTCTCTGGTAAGCTACAAAGTGTAAAGCACTTGGTAACCTAGTTAAAAAAAGTGCTATACAAATAAAGTGTATTATTATGTTTTTTAATTTAGTAGTTGGCATGTCTGATTAGATTCAAAATTAAGATTAACTGAAATTATTTGCAGTGCAACAACCATTCAAACAAATATTAAAATTAAATTTGAATCCGGGTCTATCAATTCGTTTACAGGAAAAAAGGAGTAGCTCATCTGTGCCAGATAAACAGCTGTTTGGTGTGGTGCATCTGTCAGAATAATGATCTTACTTTTGTCTAAAGGACGCTCATCTTATTCTTTAGTGAACAAGGCGAGGGAGCTTATTGTGGATTCTAGAAAGTAAAAGATGCCCTGATCAAAAGAGGAGGTTGTGCAGCCTCCAGTACAAATACCTGGGTGTCCACAACAAGCTCAACTTAAATTAGAATATTGATATCATACTAAAGCGGGCTCAGTCTAGATTGTTTTGGGTGTTGGGAGCTTCACAGCTGTGAATAAGAACGGGATCAATAAACTGATCATGAGGCAGAATCTGTTATTGGCCTGACTCCAGGTTCTCTGGAGAGCATCACAGACGAGAGAACCAGCGGGAAGATTATCTGACATGAGACGACCATCCCATGTGCAGCACCCTCATACAGAGCAGCAGGAGCGAGCGGCTTCTGTTGCCAAAATGCTCCACTGAAAGACCCATGATGCCTTTTGTTCCCATAGCAATTAGACTCTTAAATGAGCAAAGTTGATGCAATTGTCTTTCCATTCACTGTATGCTGCATGTTACTCACACTTCTTGTCAGCCAACTGTTTACACTTGCACATTTGCACCATTGGTCTTTATGATTTGCGTTCACTCATCATTACTGCTGTTGCAACAAACTGTTCTTCTTTTAATGACTCTGCCTCCAGTCAATGATTTTGTGTACATGTCTTTGTTAACAGATTGGATGTGTCTGTCTATGGTTGTAAACCAGCCTCCCCCTCTGGGGATTAATAAAGTTTCTCTCATCCTGATTTTAGGTTGAAAGGATTTATTTTATTTTTCCAAAGCTATTAGATAGAAACATTAAATAAATATGTCCAAGGTCGATAAAGGAAATTAAATTAAGGGAAATATAAATTTGATAGAAAATGAAAGACTAACTGAAAGAACACTTTGAAATATTGCTTCAAGGTGGATTTTTGTGGATCTTGACAGTTGAATTAGTTGAACTGAAAAACTAAAGTGAACTGAAACTGAACTAAAGGACATCCTGCTGTGTAACAGTCAAATGATTATAGTTTGTTCCCTTAAAGGTTCAGTGTGCAAGATTTAGGTGAAAGGAATTTTTCACATTAATATTCACAGAAACACAACACCACACACTTTACAGTTGCAGTGTATGACAACTTAATTACAGTCATGCTAATCTAATTCTGTACAAGCTGTGTTCCTGATAAACTGAACATAAATGATCCCAAATAGTCTGATTATATTTTTTCTCTTGAACTGACTTTCTTGTGAGTGAAATCTCTACCTTAATAAAACATATTTGTTTGTGTAGATCTACAATATGTGAGCTTTTACCCTTGCTCTCCCTGCTCATTTGGGTAGGAGGCCCCTCCCTGAACGTCAGGCTCGGAGCTGGCTCCAGCAGGAGACACTGGTTCAATGCCATCATTTGAAACACTGATGGGTGACGTCTTGGGTTGAGGAGGAGACCTGGATAGAATTCAAACAGAATACAATTTAATGACTCCTCATTTAAATGATTGGTTGAAGGCACAGAAAGGAGACGATTCCCACTCAATGCAATAAATAGATGTTTCAGAAAGTGATCTCATTTGATAGTAATTCTTACCGGTCTCTGTTGCGTTCACCACCAAGGCCTTCTGGGTAGCGTGTACCTTGGGCGTCGGCCTGTGATGTGGGTGGAAGTTGGGAGGCACTGGGTGGACGGGTCAAGTCCAGGACAGGAGAGCCATGGTAGCTTTGCTGTTGCTGGCTCTGCCTGGTGTAGTCTTTAGTTATCACCTCCTGTTTACATCAAGACATAGTCATGAGATATGGGATAACACTGCCTGGTATATTCTATTCAGCAGTGTAAAGCCACTTAGAAAACAACACACATAATGAGATGATTGTTTATTAGGATATAGTGTTATTTATGACAGTTGTAATATTGTGGTTGAGCAGTCTTACACTGATGTGCTGTGCCAGGGTGACCACCCTCTGGCTGCCTTTAACACAGGGGGACGAGGGCTGTTGGCCTGGAGACAGTCTCTCCTCAGACGGAGGACGGTACAGACTGTGTGGCTCCATCTTTTGTTGAGCTGAGAGTCCAATCCAAAAAACACACATGCACACACACGCAAAGATCACATCCACACACAGATAAAAGTTAGTCTTGTTTTCTTATTGCATCATGACACAGTTCAAGATAAAACATGTTAATGAGAACATGCACAATTCAGAAATGTCTGCAGTAATATTGGATGTGCAATTAAAACAATTCATGTTGCAGCTACACATGAAAGCTGAAAGGGCAAGCTTCTCAACAAAAACACTATCTGACAGTGTGTGTGACGAGCTACCACAAGACTCCTGATTATTTATAGCGCACTCTTTGCATACAGACCCAGCAGAGCTTGGCTTTGACCATTGGTGGTGCTAAAGCGGACTGGTTTTCATCAGTGACTCATAAATGAAGAAGTCATAAAGTTACTTTTTAAATGAAGACCATCTTTACATCACAGACAGACAGTACTGCATTAGAGCCAAAGAAAATACTAATGTCTGTACTGTAAGCTATGAATACAAGAAGGTTATGAATACTAATAGTATAAAAGTTAAGCCGTGACAGACCCATTCATTGCTGATCATAAATTTATGAAATTACTGTTGAACCATTGTGGGACCAAAACTCCCAGCCTGCATACTCTAGAGAGCACTACAAGCCTGTTTCAAGACTGTTTTTTCTCTGTGCGTCATGACTCACTGTGTGTTTTCTTACACAACTCTTGCTCTATCACAGTATTTATCTCTGGAGAGGATGATGTAAGTCGTGGAAGGAGTTAGGGGCCAGGATTGACTGTACGGACTCCCAGAGAGGACAAGTCCCCCAGAGGGACAGGACGCTGTGGTGTGTTTTGTTTGGTAACAGAAGCGACTGGGTTCGTTTCAACAGCAGCTAACAGCCTGTGTTTGTCTCTGTGGTCCTGTCTACAAGGTGATGATGTCCTATTAGTGGGTCTGTCTACAAGACTCATCTGCTCTGACAAGCATGGTTCCTGTTGAGTGCTGTATATACAGGATTGTATTGACATACATTTGACGCAGCATGCAGGTGTCACTTGCCCCGCAGTCTTATATAAATACAGATGTGACACATTGTTCTACAAGCAGAAAAAACCACACAAAGTCACATTCCAAATGACGGACAAACTCCCAGAGGCTTGATTGAGAGAGATGTTGGGTGTGTTTGGGAAAAATTAAATAAAATTAAAAAAAATCGGCATAAATTACAGTGAGCCATAAATAGGAACATGCAGAGATTTGGAGACCAGACCCTGTAGTACCCCCCTCCCCTCCCACTAGATGGCTGAGAGTCTCCCCACGTGCCCCCCTTTCAGCAGCCTCTTTCTGTGAAGCACTGGTTCAGGGGCTAGGGACCTCAAGGGGATCGGTTTGGTGGTTGGTAAGGTTTTGTGTAAGTAGCTACATGAGGTAGTGCCTCATCAGTAGTGAAGTAGAGCCACTGCATGTGTCAAGTCAAAAAGCTTGAATTACAAGCAATGTTGTTAAACATGGGATATAAAAGCCTCCCGCGGTGCGATGTCTTTTCAAGTGTTGACAATTTACTTGTGGTGAAATATTCTGTTCAAACTAACCAGCCAAAAAGGAGGGAAGAGGGGTGCCACATTAACTATGGAAAGAAAATTAAAAATAAGCAGCAAAGGATGTTCTACCTTAATATCCCATCAGCTTTAGCTACCTTATATTACACCTTAAAGGACACCTAGGATCTTCTTCATGGAAAAATAAAAATGTGTCAAGTTGTTTATTATTATTTCATCAATATCAATCATATAAAGTGCCTTTATATTTAGTTGTGTCTAATTTGGACAGGTTAGAGGTTTGGCTTTCCAGAGGGCACCCTTGGTGGTCTTTAAGTCTGTGAAGAATAACTAATAATAAGACAAAAAATTATAGCATTGAAAGAAAATAATGTAAATGAATTGGGCTGATTTGATAAATGCCAACCACCACAGCGTGCAATAGGCCACAGACTGACGGGGGAGGGTCTAGGTGATGAGGGGGACCCTGGGATCCAGAGCGTCTTACCATCAGTGGCGCTGCTGGCAACAAGCGAGCCCGTCTCTGGCATCCCCGTTTCACAAGAAATTTGACGCATTATAATCGCGTTTATGAAGTTGGCCGCAGTCATGGTGGTCTTACCGAGTGCTCGGAGCTCTTGTTCCTGAATGGACATCGGTTTGATTTGAGTCTTTTCCCTACTAGGTGTACCGCTTTCTCCACGGCCAGAGGGGTTATCCGACTGGGGGGGCAGCAGGTGCGGGGGCCGGCTTGAAGCCGAGGGATAGGAACCTTGGTATATTCCTCCTGGGCTGGGGCAGGACAGCTTGGGGTCCGATTTAATGGAGGGTCCGTGCTGGTCCTGCATGTGCTTGGGTAGACCTCCCCTGATTTTGCTTCCATCACGGCTCTGCTCTTTGGCTACACTTGAGTCCATGACAGCTGGGTAGGTCTCTGGGGGCACACCCGTCCTTTGGAGGTGGCCAGGATAACCTTGGTAGCGTGTTGGTCCTGAGGACATGGATCTAATGAACCAAACAAAACATACTTAGTAAGGAAAAAACATTCATCTTGAATGTTATGAGAAGTTAGTTTTAAAAAGATTCTTGTAAAAACAGAGGTGAAATGCAGTTTACCGTAACACAGATGAGCTGGAGTGTTCGCTGACAGAAAGACTTTTGCCTCCAGTGTTGTGCAGGACACTTGGCCTCTGCTGCACATTCTCCTGGTTACGAGGTGACACTGGGGAGTGCTGGTGGCTATACGGCTGAGAAGCAGGTCTCACACTGCTGCTACTGCTCGCCAAGCTATGCTCTGTACCTGAGAACAACAATACAGTCTATTTAATTTCATAAATGCATGCAAAGTATCAGGAACCTACATCTGAGCTGCTATTGTGTGACGTTAGGAGACAAAATTGATAAAACTGTAATCACACCGCACCTGGTCGCCAGATGGGGGCGTGCTCTACATTTCCAAGAGACCCGCCCTTCTCTCTGTCACGCTCTCTGTCTCGTTCTCGCTCTCTGTCCCGGTCTCGTTCCCTTTCCCGGTCTCTCTCGCGTTCTCTTTCACGATCTCTCTCCCGGTCCCGTTCACGCTCCCGCTCCCTCTCTCTTTCCCTCTCTCTGTCTCTCTCCCTGTCCCTCTCTCTGTCACGTTCACGCTCCGAAGATGAGGATGTGCCCTGCATCTTGTTTACATGTGAGGAGCCAACTGTAAAGAAAGAAAACACAATTATTAAAACAGTGAGTGCAACATTTTTGGTGAGTTCGCTTGTATGAACGGAAATGAACCTGGAGAGATGGGGGATGTGGCGTAAGGCCTGCCAGGGTAGGTGGTGCTTCCCCCAGGGATGTAGGTGATGCGATCCATCGGAGAGCCTGCCGTCCCTGCAGAGGGAGGGACCAGGACAGGTAAATGTGGCACCTGAGAAAGATCGATGATTCCTAGGGGACACAAAGAAGGGAAGGGTAAAGGAAAATCTAAAAGCTATATGAGTCCAGGTGTGTTTTAGTCTGGAGGACAAGAGCTAAATAATACATACTGCTGTCTCATACTGGTCCATGTTGCAGAATCATTCAGTCATTCAGGAATGTAACAGTTTGAGGTTTGGACAGGTTGAATAATAATATGAAGAAAACGTCCCAACAACATCGATGAAATGCAACAAAAATACCTTTTTGACAAATATAATAGCATAACATAGAACATAATCTCTTATCCAAGTGACAGCAAAGTTCGAGCAACATAAATGCATGTTAACTTAACTTTTATCAAATAGATAAATAGAAGATAAAAGCTGTAGCAAGTGCATGTTTTTGATTCTCTTTATAAAATACTACAGACAGTGATCACATAAGTCACATAATTAATACATTTTTCCTCCTTTCGCAGCTCGTTATCACCTTTATCTGCTGCCGGATGCAGAACACTTGCTGATTGTCCACAGTTTATGTGGGTTCGAAAAGTGCAACTTTGCAGCTCCTGATAAAAATTGTATCCAAGAGATTACAGCAATAGCAACAGAATTAATGTATTCAAAGCTGTATCCTTTAAAGTTTACAAAATATGATAATCAGCATTATTTTGAATTGCAGAGTGAGGTGTAAGGTCAAGTAGGCCACAAGCAGCACTGCAGTTCTTAAAGTGTCAACTGACAGACAATACTGTCGCTGAATGAAATGCAGGCAACATGAACCCTGCGGCTCTTGGAAAGGTATGTCTGTATGTGTAGCACACCAACGATGTCTGCTGGGTGAAATCGGTTAGCCTTACCACGAGGGGCAGAGTAGGGCAGAGAAAGAGCCTGGTCTCGTGGAGTCAGGCCCCTCAGCAGGTCTGATCGCTGGGCGGCCATGGCGGCGGCTGGGGGCCACTGGTGCATCTGCTGCGAGGTGATGTAGTCATTGAGCAACGTCTGACGATTCTCTAGGGCAGCGGTGTCAGGAAAGCCCCGGATGAGGTAGGGGTAAGGATGAGGGTATGCTGGGTTGGGGGCGAGGTGGCGAGGCAAGTAATAGGCCGCTGTGGACGAAGAGAAGGAAATGTCTGTTCACAATGGACAAAATAAATTGAAATAATTTAAGGCAATAGAGCTGTTTGTACTTATTTGATCTGATGTGTTACTCAGGCCTGTGTGGGTGTGTATAGTTAATCAACTGAAGTATTCCTCAATTTACTGCTTTACATTTTACCTGTCCGACTGTTTTTAGATGAATTTAACACTGCAAAGGACTATGATGGTGTACTCACAGTGCTATGGCCACTGGCAAGAGGATCTACAAACCAATTACTAGTAATTCAATGTGAATTTTAAAGTATTTAATTGGTAACTGCGGAGCTTTGCCGATTGCCACTTTGCTTTTGCAAAAGTTTAGCTCATTTTGCAGTCTCATTGCAATAAAAAGATCGGGGTTTTGATGCAGGACAGCGTCTGCCTTTATAATTGTTATAGAACATGGCTTGTGTTGACTTGCATAACTCTCAGCCATGTTTCACCAAACCTTTGCTGAGTTATGCTTCAATGAGGTCAGAATAACTGAAAAGACCTGAAAAGGTAAGACCCTCAAGATCTTTCATACATTTCAGAGCACAAAGTTTTATTTATTTATTTTGAAGGTTTGCCTGTGACTGTACCTGGGTCAATTGGGATGCCTCTGGGCAGCGATGCAGGATCAAACGCTAAGGGAATCTGGCGGTACATATCTGCTCCGAGACCCTGCAGCAGACGCTCATAGGCCTGCTGATCAGGAACACCAGGGAGCGGTGATTTAGTAGCACTCATCTCCCTGGGAGTTGGTGTTGATTTACGCTCCTGAGACGGATTCTTACTGGAGGCTGGAAGAAGAAGAAAACAAGAAGATGTTCAGTTTTTGGGATTAAGTATCTTATTATACGATATTTCAACCGCTGTGGATACAGCAAGACCTTGTTTCAGAAATAAAAAAACAACTATTGATTGCGTAAGATATAGTCACCATCATGCTGCCTTTGGCTTGCCTCCCTGGAGAGAGGGGAGCCACGATGGGAGGGTCCAGGGTATGCGGTCCTTAAGTTGCCTTTGTCGTCGTAGCCCACTGGGCTATGATGAGCCTTGCCTCCCTGCTCTGGCCCCAGTGTTAGAGGAGAAGAACGGGCTATAGGACTCGCCGTACTGACCACCGCACTGGGGCGACCTTTCGGCGCCTCTTCATAGCGACCCCTCTCAGCACGCATCTCCATATGGGAGGGTGTGTTGTGGTAGGAACGTGGTGAACTGGCTATGATGGAGCGGACATCATGACGTTTCCCTGAACCACCTGATTCCTGTTTCATGGGTGTTCCCTAAATAGAAGCACAACAGGAATGAATCGGTTAAATGCAGAGAGAACCAAACACTAAGGGTTGGATAGCACCTGCCTGTGTTGTTTGTGTGTGTATACCTGTACTATCATGCCGTCTTTGGCAGGCTCCCTGGGAATGAGGTGGATGGAGCGCCCACCCTCCTTCACAGTGGGCACCATCGCCTCTCTGCCCTTCATTTGGTCAGAAAGAGAACCAGGTCCACGGGGTGGGGAGCCCTCTCTCTTCATCTGCTTAGGCTCCCTCCTGAGATACCCATCCTGAGGGTCCAGATGACGAGGAATACCTGATATATGGAATTTTAGTTTTAACAGTTTAGGCAGTAGTGAGAAATGGTGTAACAGACAGGTTAGAAAGGCAGCATTACTGTCTCTGGGCAAGATGAGACAAGATGGTTATCTAACTTTTCTACTATCAGACAGATAAACAAGAATAACGACATGAAAGTACTAATGCCAGTGGGTAAGATCTGGTAAACAGGCACAATCTGTTACTTGAAAGCAAAAAAACTGTGCTCACTCAGCAAAGCTGCACAGAAAGAGTGTGCAGCCTGATGAGGTGAGAGCACAAAGAGTGTGTCGCTTCAGGAAAAACTCAGAAAGCAAACAGGGAGATATTAAACATTATTCTCTTGCAAGCAGATGTATTTACACTCGCCCAAATATTCAACCTGCTGAAATATCTTCATTCCTGTTGTTTGATCTGTGTTATGTTATCTTACCTTGGGAGATGGAACCACGGATGTGATGAGCATCCTTGTAAGGTGTGTGGTGCGGACTGTCCCTATCATGAGGCATGGCTCGACCAATCAGACCTGAGGGAGAGCGGAGGGAGTAGTAGTGAGATTCAATACTATGCTAAAATATTTTATCAATAATTAGACATGAATGTGAATAAACAAGAGTCAGACAAGATTACATCCAGTAACCTTTAGTGAGATTGACAGAGGGTTAAATGGAGTTACCTTCACAGTTGGCAGCAGACAGAGAATCCCTCATAGGCAGCCCTCTGGAGATGCCACCCTCCATAGCATCATAAGGACGCTTCAGGCCTAGAATTTCTCCAGGCTGCCCAGGACCTCGGCCATCATCTTTAGGGGTCTGAGAGGCAGAACCTGCAGATAACCACATAATATAATTACATAAAAAGCATCTCTTAGTTTAGGGATAACACTCAACAACACCCGACTGTATGACTAACTCAAGATGCAGTAAAGAAGTTTCAACGTTAACGCAATTGAAAACATTTGTTGAATTTTTCATTGCGAAATAAAAATAACAGTTGGCCATAAAGTTTATTGTAGCCTAGCTGAAGTACTCACGGTCATATGTGAGGATGTGCCCGCTGATGCCCTCATACACCACATGTCCTTTAGACAGCGCCTCATCCCGCTCCCTCTCCGCTCGGCTGGCACTGTCCTCAGTGATCAGACGGGTAATGGTTCCCTTATACAGCACGTCAGCCGGTGTCCCCTGTGGTGACGAGAGGAGATGTGAGACCTGCACAAATCTGATCATGACTTTTATAAGACAGATTGTGGCAACGACCTACATGAGACAGCCTTGACTACCAGGCAGGCACTGTTTACGAGCCTGGATTTCATCAAATCTAACAGTTTTCACAACCACATTCACACGCCAAAGTCACATTAAAAAAAAGAAATAAAAATCAAGGCTCTGCTCAGCAAACCATCTTGAACTCATCTCATCAGGCAGCACTAGGATATGTAATGCTCCCAACAGGCTGCTGCTTTCTAACCAACTGCAAAGACAGCTGCAGTGGTAACACCAACAGAAATACCCACGATCAGGTCAGGATCTGGTTACAGACACTGCTGAATGTACACTGAGAAATTTTCTGGAATGTCAATGTGATTAGACTGAATAATCAGTTCTGTTATGAAGCTTTTTTTAAGGTAAAATCACTATTGTGAAACTCGAAAGTGGATTTGAGACTTTCCAAAAAACCACAAATGATGCTGTGATAACAGTCTGCGCTGTATATATATTACATAGTCCATTAAAAAACTATATAACACAGCTGACACAAAACTGAGTTACATACAGTGATATTTAGCTATATAACAGATGTATTATATAATTATTAGTTAATAGAATAATTACCTACACTTGGTTAAGGTTCTAAACAAATTACAACAATGAAAGACAACAGGGAGCTCAGTAAATATAAAAATTCCAAAAACAAACACACCTTTAAAAAATAAAAAAGTACTCCCCAAAATGTGTGGGTCCAACCACAACAGCAGATAATCGGCAGCTTTGTTAAAACCGAGTCACATGACTCATACCCTGAGCATGAGTCATATTTCTTCATCGCTCGGTTAAGATACGAGAGCAGGGTGGATGGTTGAGAAGGAGACACAGTAGAGCCCAAGATCAAATTTCTAGTCTGTCCATTACAGCTTTTCCAAGAAGACCATGCTGAACGTTGAAGGCCAGACATTTTCCTGTGATAGAGGGGGTTTCCATTTACAGGATCAGATGACACTGACCAAAGCAGTCCTCATCTACTCCTTAAGAAAGTGTACTATAAGGTGCATATATCTGGTTGCTATCACGCATCTATTCATCCATCTAGTGATCTGAACAACTGAACCATCTGTCTAGGAGAGGACTGATTGTATTTTATAGCTTTAACCTTTTCCAACATGTCATGGTGGCTAACAGCTTCCTCAACACTATTGTCACCTGTATGCCAGAGGGATGTGATACTACAGTGGGCATATCAATGACTGGGTTTAGCCAGCGCCTAGAATAAATAGATTAATAAGAGAGGGAACAGACGCAGTACAATGTGTACCTGTTGCTAGGGTGACAGGGCCACTCGGAGCTGTGGTTATGTCACAGCAGCAGGGAAATCCAGCAGCCGCAGCACTTGGCCCTGCCTCATGACCTCTCAACAGCTTTTCTGCTCTCCGTTTCATCATAGGTACACAAATCAAAGCCCAGTAACACAAGGGCTGCTATGATTGACGACAGCAGCTTTAAAAGGGTATGGGCAGGGGCCTAACCACAGCAACGATATCGGGAAAAACTAGTATTGACCACCAGAAAAGGAGAGAGAAAATTAAAATAACGAGGGTGGCTTTTCTGTGTACAAGCAATACACTGTAGGCTGCAATGAACCTTAACACAGTTAAATATAACGTCTGTTTAATTTCATCATTAACAATCCATCCGTGCCTAGACAAATTTAACATCACACATCACAGTGGCCATGCCCAACACAGCGATAACAAACTGTACATAGGGAGATTCTGTTACAGACAGAGTGAAAACAAAGCAGTACCTGTAGATAACGCCAGTTTTCCATTATCAACATTGATATGACGAGCACAGAGTAAGAGGAACAAAACTGTACGGCAGTGTTAAGAAGAACCAAGAACCTGGATTCACAGTACTTTGCCGGTGTGAGCTCACCTGAGTAATGGAGCCCCCTCGGCAGGAGATTGCGGAATCTGGATGCATTCTGGTCCCTGGGATGCCCTTTGTGATACTGCCCCCCTGAACAGCTGGAATAGAGCCTGTAAAGATAAGACGAAAGACATTTATGTCACCATGAGCCAAAGTGTAAGGCAGTATGGTATGGAAAACTATGTAAACAATCATTGGGAGTTAAGGTTTGCAAAACCGGTCTGATAAAAAGCCTGTATGTAAGGCTGCAATAAAAACTAAGTAGACAGGTTGTTATTTAATCTCTGTTTTGTGAAATCTTTAATTAAAATTTTTACACATTAATTTTAAAAGGACAACAGAAATGTTGAGACATCACTGGCAGTAATAAGAGCTTTGAATCTTCTTGAGAATACAGTATGAGTACCAGCTTTGCACGCACGGATTTAAGCACTTCCACTCATTCTTCACATCCTCTCAAGCTCTGTCAGATTAGATGAGCTTCAATGAACTCAACTCCCCACTGACTCCCTATGAGACATAAGTATAGGACACTAATGTACATTCAGAGACTTGTCCTTAAGTCCATGTGGTCCTCGCTGTGTCCTTCAGGTCACCATCCTGCTGAGGTGGTAAATCTTTTCAGTGTGACAGTGCTCAATAAAACATGCAGATTGCTTGATTTTTTTAAGGGTGTGTGGGAACCAAACTCACAAAAAGTGATTCTAAATATTAACACTAGTGTCATTCCTTACCTACTGAACAACACAGCACAAAGAAAAATGTAGAAGTAAAGCACTAACCCTATTTTACCGTATAGGGGAATTAAATAAAGGAGAAGAAAGGGGAAGACATGTACCTCTTCCCGTAGCACTATCGTGAGGTGTGCCCTGGGTTGACAGGTTGTCAGCTTGGGAGGATGAGCTGCGAGGGGACAACTGTTCCTGCTTTACCATGGGGAAAGAACCTGCTGCATAATGAAGGACACAGAGATATTAATGAGACAGATGCTTCATTTGTTGGCAACTTAGGCCTCATCTTTACTACTGTGGAAAATTAACCTTCTGTTATTTAAAAAAATCTCCATCCACAAGACCTTCATTTTACAAAATTCTTTTGTCCAGATGAGAATACAAATACAATTGCTTACACAAGCATGCAGAGCGAATAGGTTGCGATAAAGTATACATCAACTATCTGTCAAACACCAGAGAAGAAAGCTGTGGTCTGGGCACAGACAGATGCTAATGGCAGCGATGTTAGCAGCAGCAAACTTGTACTTACACCTAGCAGTGCTAACCAAATGTAGAGAAACTGGTATATAGCCAGCATTGTTGTTGTTTCTGGAGCATTAACATTATAAAAAGCCACATGCATGAGGTAAGCTGTGACAACATTGGTTTCAGTGTATATGCGTGTGAACAATAACTAAAATGGAGCATTGGGGAATCAGAGTTTTTCAAAATCTGCACTTCAGAAGGTGTTTGGATAAATCTTTGTTTTAGTGACTTAAAAACACAGTTTGCGTGTGGACGAGAGGCTAAAACGCACAGGAAGAAGTCTGCTTTGCAAAACATCTTCAATAGTGTGGACAGGGCGTTAGAAAACAGAAAAATGTGATGTGCACGAGACAGTTTCACTCACCCATTTTCCTTTGATCCATCCAAGACAACCCCATCTGTGTGGGGGGCATCTTCCCGTGGTCCAACCCATGAGCTGGGCTGTGCAACTGCACTGGGGTGCCCTGTAAAAAAACAAGGTTGTGGTGATGGAGATTGTTAGATTCATTCACAGTATATTTCATGTAGCAAATTTTCAAAGGTGCCAACCAGAGTATATTAAATTTAAAAAAAAACTCAATATTTATGATTTTTTTTAAAGGCCAACAGTGACTATGTCAAAGCCCCAGTTTTCATTTGTGTGCTGGTATACCTGTGTGATGGAGCCTCCTGGCTTGGTGGAGGAAATGAGAGGTGGTGGTTCTGGCATAGTGAGGGGTCTCACTGCTGCCAGCCTCCCACTGTCCTGTGGCAGACCAGGGAGGGAACTGTGGCCCGCTTGCTGGAACGCTGGAAATCAGGAGGCATTATGAGCTTGAGATCTGAATGTCAGATTTTTGGCTTGAGTTGTTTCTTGAGGCATTTCAGCATCAAGATGCAGAGGTTTTGTTCGGAGTTCCCATAACATGATAAACATATTAAAATTTAGGCTTGTTAACAACACAAAAAACAGGACAGCACAGAGGGGAGGACTCACAGTTGAAGTGGAGCAAATGCTGGTCATGGCTGATCTTGGCCATGTCTAGTGGGGACATGGGGTAGGGGGAGAGAACTGGGCGACCCAAGCTAGAGGTTCTTAGATCATCTGGGCCCAGTGCCTGCTTCTTGGCTTCGCTGTGCGGTGACAAGGCCCGGGACTTTTCTGAAACAAAGACGACACAAACAGTCAGGACCAAAACACAGCACTCAACCAGACCTCAACTAATCCAAGAAACTGCCCTTTTTTGCCACTTCTACTTCACTGTTGTCAACATCATTGACACTGTCATGGTCATGAGCACACAAAAACTCTTCACGCCACCTCCCAGCCAGGGTGACACACCACTGAATTAATTTGTTAACATACACAACAACCCACTGAAAATATTTAGTACACACAGTAAAATCCAGCAGAGGAGGTGATTGCACTGTAGTGTGCTAAAGGTGTAATTAGGAAGGAATAGGGGGAGAAGGCAAGGGGTGAACCTACTTAATCCCTGCAGGAGGGTCAGTAACCACCTCTCGTTGCCTTCCAGGTCTGAAGGGACACAAACACACCACAGATCATCGCATCCTCACAGAATTTATCTCTCTTCCCCACAAACATGCTCTAACCTCATCAACACTTTTTACTGGTATTACCACATGATGTGAATTTAGTATTCACAAGCAGAGAAATGGTAATAAGTAGTAGCTCGAAAATATGTCTACACCTGCGTCTTTGGCAGGTGTAAAGAGCTTTTTAAGTCCTATTTCTAATAAGTCATTAAAAGCGTGGCTGCCTGATCAAAGTCTTCACAGCTGGCGTGCCCACTTGGTTATAAAAGACCCCTCTTTGTCTTCACTGAGTCTTAAACTTGCGCTCTCAGACACTCACATTCCACAAGCTCGCAGTAAGGGCACTGAACTGGACTATATTCCCTTCTGGGTCAGTAGCAATACCACATCATTTATCAGTTCCCTCTCCACGAATGTCCCAGAAACACTAAACACTAGAGAACACAGACTCAAGGTTAGAGCATGTAGAAAGGACCAACTAAGTGAAACTAGACCAAATGCATAATTTTCTTTCGTATCATTTCCGTACTCCTCATTTATTGTGTTAATCTGGTTTCCATGAATCCATTTATCCATTTCCACAGTTTATGGACAATTTCAGAAATGTGCCATGGTACATGGGATGGAAGAATATCTCAACAGGGAGACTAATGTGAAGCAAATGCTGGAAATTGTGAGAGGGGTTTCTACATGTGTAACTTAAGCAACTGAGTTCATTGACAATAAAAGCAGTTTTCTGTCATGATGGAGGTTCGTACCATCCTTGTCGCTGGAGGGGCTGCGTGGACGAACACGAGGGCTGCTGCTATGAAGAGCCTCCCTGTCTCTCTCTGCCTGTGAGCTGTACAGTTGCGGTTTGCCTGACTGGCTTAAAAGCTGCTGCTGTTGTTGCTGTTTGACCTCCTGGGAGGACTCCCCATGAGCCATGGTGATCTGCTGCTGGTATAGTGCCAGGGCGTGGGGGGGCAGCACTGCCTTGCCACTCCGCTGACTGCCCTGCATGGAGGCCTCTGGCATCTTTACACAGGATGAGAAGAAAAAATTAAGGTTACATACACACCACACCTCCAACACCACTTCTATCTGGCATTCGACATATGGTTCGCCACATGCAGCATCTGACAACCACGGCCGCTAAAAAAACATCTCTTATTTCTTGGTAAGCTAAAGGTTCTGATGTCTGGCATCTAATTTCTTCTCCACAAAGCGGCCTATCCCATCATCGTCCATCTGACAGCTTATCTTCTACAAATATGACTGGACAATTTCACGTGCAATACTGTCATCTCTGTGAGCAGAGTGACAGGGATAGCACTGACACCACTGAAATTATAGTGTTCCGTGTGTGTGTGTGTGTGTGTGTGTGTGTGTGTGTGTGTGTGTGTGTGTGTGTGTGTGTGTAACCTGAACAAATCAGTTTTTGGTTACAAAACACTATCTGGGTCAAAGATGCCTTCCAGGGCTCAAAGTGGAGTTGCACTTCTCCTAACTGTACTTGATGAGTGACAAAAATAGAAAATACACACAATAAGACTCACAATAGGTGGTATAGCAGCAGCCCTCTGTTTGAGCTGCTTCAGGTCCATGGGCTTCTGCAGCGGGGAGGATATGACCCCATCGTGAGTATAGTTCAGTAGGCTCGGCCGTGGAGAAGTCATTCTGCACACAGAGGCACAAAAACGTTAGTAGATGTGACGAGGATGCTGAGGGAAGGGATTTCCCTGTAACTATAACATGGCCACAAACTTCTTTGGTTCACACGATTTGCCTACTTGAATCCAAATCCAACAATACATGAGGAAAAAAATTATTAAAGACCATAAAAAGAGCAGAGGTTCTGACTGTGTTTCCCACCCACATGCCTTCCTACCCATTCCCCACAGGAGACACAGGCACATTCACAAATCCTTATGGGGGGGGACGCAGAAATATATGGGGTGTGTGTGTGTGTGTGTGTGTGTGCGAGAGAGAGATGGACGTAGGATGTGTGTTGACAGTGGACTGTGGAAAAGAATTAGTAAAATCCATAACCATGTCTCGCACATCTGTTGAAAGCACACAGCATTCTCTGAATCACAGACGGACATGCGCTTTGATGCGCAACAGCACAAAAGTGTGTAGCTCTGCACACATACACACTTACTCTCTTTGTTTGCTTTGGCAGAGAGTGAAGCGTTTCCCTCTGCTCTGCCAGTACATGCAGTCTGCTGTCATGGAAAAAATTGAACAAATACCGTGCAAACAAAACTAATCACTCCTCCCACGCACTCTGACACCCATTTCTTGTGGCCTCATTCACAGACATATACTTATATATTCTCAATATAGATTCTCATTCATACAAAATAAAAGTAAAATCTCTGGTTGATAGAAAAGAGCAACCTGTGGCGTACACAAAAGTGGCTTGCCAAATATGGCTTCACTGCTGTACAGTGTAGCTAGGCAACTAATAACACTTCAAAACCCTCGCTACTGTGGTAGACCAGAGAAGTAGGACACCTAGAAATCCACTGCTCAAAAACCAGAGGCCCTCTGGCATTAATAATTTCAACCAGGCCTGATGATGTCATAGATAAAACCAAACAGGAAAGAGATTTTGTGACATGTTTATTTAAATGAATGTGAAATAAATATCTAATTTTCACTTTGCCTCTTGCTGAGAGTTTTTACCTGTTCTTATCTGTGTTGTCTGTCTCCTCTATTTCATCAGCGCTGCAAGTGGCACTAGAGTCACTGTCGCCATGGGAGCCAGTTTTTGTCCCATGTTCCTTCTTGGAGCTCCTGGTGGAGCTTTTGACTTCCTCTGTGTCTGCAGCAGGAGGTTTTTTATCTGTAGCATCGCTGGGTGCTGCAGGCTGCAGCTGTTCTTTGTTGAACTCCCCTGTCTCAGTCTTTATCTCCTGCTTGATGACCGAGTCTGCATCTTCTTTGATTGGATTTTTGTCATCCCCTGCCTGGCCCATGTCTGATCCGGAGGCCTCCTTGTCCCCGGAGTTGGAGCCGGCCTTCGACCTGCTTGAGCTCTCCTCTTTGACCTTGCTGTCCTCTGACGAGTGTGGTGAGGGCAAGCTCTCGGTGTCAGAGCTGTTGTTGGCTCCACCTAGCAGGGACAGAGGACAAAGTGAAAGACAGATTAGACGTGGAGACTGGGTTTATAATATAAATCACGTTATATCTCTTTTCCTTTTATTTTTTTCATCTTTTCCTGCTAAACCAGATTCCTCACAGTGCCAGTCTTCAGCCTAATCAAGTTTCAGTTTACAATAAGGAGGAACACAAAACCACAGGGAAGACAGAATGAATCCCCTCCCCTAAGGCTTCAACAATCTATTGTGGAAGTATAGTCTATACAGTATACTTCAATCAGCAGACTACAGCAGGATTTTCAAGATTCTTTTATGGAAGTCACTTCAGATTATTATTCTTCAAGCTAACAGGAACTAGTCAAAGAGTTTTACTGTTACATGATATTTTATGCACTCAGTGACCACTTGTCCCTGTACAATGTAATGCAATCCAATACGACAGCTCTGCTATAAATTCTGAATTAACATAGATTATAATGTTCCAATACTGAAGTTGCAATTATGTGTATTATTGAGGTTGTTGTTTTGAGGGGTGTCAATTTCAACTGAAATATTAAACAGTCCAGTACACTACTAACTATGACCTTAATAATAAACAGTCGCACACTTGCCCAAAACTGCCCACAGCTTCTTAAAAGTTTTGAATTTGTCACAGAGATGTTGTACTGAAATTGCATAAAATGTATAAGTGTACCTAATTAAGCTTTCAGTAAGTCTAGCTATTCATTTAAAAACCTTAATTTTGCTTTAGTCAGTACAGGGTTTCTGCAGGACTCTAAAAGTTAAATTAAACACCTTTAGAGACCTTTTTCAGACCATAATGAATGTAATCAAAGATCAATATCTGTCTATATCAATAACTGTGATAAATTCCAACCAGTTCTGATCAGTTATCAGTTTCTTGTTGGTCTTATTTGTATTTTTACGAGAGGATATATTTGAGAGAGAACTACTACACACTGAGACATTACAAACTAGGCATCCTGCTAAAACAGAAAACAAATTTTAAAGCATGACAGTAGTAGCATTAAATGAATATGGATATAATTACAACATAACTTAACACATTTAGAAACTAGTATGTATTATGTTGACATATTTAAGACTGTTTAAGATTTGAAATTCACATTATTGAATTTTAGACTTATCGAGACCCTGCAGAAACCCTGTCAGTATATTTGACTGAAAAATAGATCCGCAGAAACTATTATGTTATTACATTGTTAAATCCCAACGCACAACCAATTTAACATACTGTAAAATACTGTAAAAATATAACCTCTAAAACCAGCTACCTATTTTTAAACTGTAAATGACTCAAAAACTCAAACAAAGTCATCAATCAATAGATGCAGGTACAATAAAACCTTTGATTTATAGTGTTGTGTTTTGTTTTAGTGTTGCGTGTGTTTCTCTTGTGAGTGTTGTACCCTCTCCATCTTCAGGGGCCTCGTCTTCATTGCCACTGGCTCCTGAACCCTCCATCTCCTCCTCTTCTGCTGTATAATTGGCACTAGCCTCCTCATTTTGCAGGGCTTTGCCCCTTCGTCGGGCCTTTCGCTCCTTCTCCTGGGTCAAAACAAACACACACTAAATAAAACAGCCCACTGATCTTCAGAGGAAATGCACAACCAAACTTATGGCTTGATTATGTACAACAACTTCACATGTTCAGCATATCATAGTGTAAATATGGCTAAAAAACCTCCCCTTACCGATCTCATTTTATGCTGCTGCAGAATCTCATCCAGTTTCTGCCTCTTCTTGTAATTGAAATAGAAGTTCTTGCACTGTGACACGGTTTTAGATCCCACCATCTTGGCGATGGCGGACCAATTCCTACCATACTGGAGAAGGCCTGGAAGTAACAGATGGAAGGGCAGAAGGATTAAGATTGGTACAGGAACAAAGACACTCAGACAAAGATTACATGTATCTGTTGTATGCTTACATCCCCTCTCTGTGTCAAAATAATATTCTCTATGAAGTTGAAAAACAGCAATGTAAGCTTTGAGACTGTTATTTAGGTTTCTGTTCTGGAGAGAATATCTCCAACCACAATCTGTTTGAGTGCACAGTTTAGAAGATTATCCATGGTAAACCAACAACCACACACATCTGACTCTATACAGCTGTCAAAACCATAGCACAGAAAAAGAGATGGAGAGAGCGAGGGGAGTCGGGGTGTGGTGGCCGACCCGTCATACCAATGACATCACTAACTCTTCCCACTGGGGTCACTCTGTGTCATACTGTAGCTGACTTTTATGTGACCCAGTTCTAAGAAACCCTGGTCCTTTACTCAGTCAGCCACATGATTGTGCCTTACACAAGAGTCTACAGGCACCCGCTGGGCCAGAGCTGTGATAGATCAACCTGTCACGCAGTGTGCGCACACACAGGCATGCACGAACACACACCCACACACACACACACAC